TTGATCAGCTCTGACGTGTCCCTTGTCATGACTTACAAGTGAAATATTTAAGAGGTTAGGAGAGGGGGTTGACGGGGAACAGCAAAGATATTGAAGAACACTGAAAGGATTCTATAAATAGCTGTATCAGAGCGTAAAACGGCAGATTTTAAATCTAGGGATTCGAGAGAAAGAGCCCTGATATTAAAATCCCATCCAGGCTCACATCTGTGTTTTGTAACTATCATAAAGAAAGGCAAGAGATATATAGGCGAGCTTTCCTTAAACCCTGGGGCCCTCCTGATGTGTCGGAAAATAGCTCTTACCCCCAGGTGACCACATGCCTCTTCTTTAAGGTGGGTTGTACTGACAGCAGCCTATAGGAAGCACAACCTATCTTGCAAACAAGGAGAGTTTGTGTTATTATTTACTATCTCACTTTGTTTACTTGGGGGAATAAAAAGTTAGCTGTCAACACTTTGGCAGAGACAATACAATCATCTACAATGAAACAAGGTATATGATGTCTGTACAACTTGTTATGGGCCCGCGGTGGCGCAGTGGGTTAAACCGCTGAGCTGCGGAACTTGCTGACCAAAAGGTCAGCAGTTCGAATATTTGGTTGTTTGGGTTTTTTTTGGTCGTGTCAGAAGCGACTTTGAGAAACTGCAAGTCACTTCTGGCATGAGAGAATTGGCCGCCTGCAAAGACATTTCCCAGGAGATGCCTGGATGTTTTGATGTGTTATCATCCTTGTGGGAGGCTTCTCTCATGTCCCCGCACGAGGAACTGGAGCTGATAGAGGGAGCCCATCCGCGCTCTCCCCAGATTCGATCCTGCGACCTGTCAGTGTTCAGTCCTGCCGGCACAGGGGTTTAACCCACTGCACCACCAGGGGGTTCGAATCTGTGGAGTGGTGTGAGCTCCAGTTGTTAGCCCAGCTTCTGCCAATCTAACAGTTCAAAAACATGTAAATGTGAGTAGATCAATAGGTACTGCTCCGGCGGGAAGATAACACTGTTTCATGCAGTTATGCTGGCCACAAGACCTTGGAGGTGTCTACTGACAACGCTGGCTCTTTGGCTTAGAAATTGAGATGAGTACCACCCCCCAGAGTCGGATCCGATTAGACTTAATGCCAAGGGGAAACCCTTATCTTTACCTTTACAACTTGTTTGCCATTCCTAGAGACTTCAGGAATCCAACTCCAATTTTAAAAAATGAGGTGTATGATCTTGGTTGGAATACACTGGATGGCAACCTGTTTAAGACAGTGCTCAGATGAGTGCAGCTGTAGTCATCCATGTGGAAAGCCAAGCAAGTCTAAGCATACACTGAAGCATCCCACCCCTGCTATGTCAGCTCCACTGGCTGCCGATCCAGTTCTGAGCACAATTCAAAGTGCTGGTTCTGACCTATAAAACCCTATATGGTTCTGGCCCAGTGTACCTGTCCGAACGTATCTCCTTCTACGTTCCACCTCAAAATCTAAGATCTTCTGTGGAGGCCTTGCTCTTGGCCCCACGTCTGTCACAAACATGCCTGGTGGGGATGAGGGACAGGGCCTTCTAGGTGGTGGACCCCGCCTGTGGAATTCGCTCCCCGGGGAAATTAGGTCATCTTCATCCCTCCTCTCCTTTAGAAAAAAGTCACCAGGCCTTCGGGTGACTATGCTGACAAGGATAATGACAATGAGGACAAATTACTATGGCAATGGACTATGGACAAGCGTTATGAAGTCTCTGATCTCAGAATCTCGGCTAGATAAGGCCATATGGCTTTTATATTTAAACATATTTTAATTGAATGGATTTTGATTGATGCAATTCTTGGTTTTATTATGCATTGTTATGTACTCATGTAGGCATTGAACCGTGCCGGCTGGAAGCTGAGTTCCCCCCTCCCCCTTTCTGGGGGTTGAGAAGGGCGGGGTACAAATATTTGAAATAAATAAAATAAATAGTTAAGACAATAGAGCAACTGCAAGAAATGGTATGAGAGTAACTCAAGTCCAATGCCAGTCAGTGGAAGATCGAAGAGAATAATCTAACCTAGGGGGCAAGTAAAACTCTAGGAAGCAATAGGTTAAGGAATGTGAAACGATGCAGCAGTGACTTCAGAGCACTTGTTTGCAACCAAGGAATGGTCATGTTAAAATATAGTAACTATTGGTACAATTAAATCAATGTGTTCTCTTAAAGACCAGACACAATTTTTCAGCTAGCATTTGAATCAGAGAGATGAAATGCCTCAGTATCTGGCTCTTGGTCTTCAGGAATTACAATGTAGGGTGGTCCAGGTCCTAATTCCAACAGTTCCTTGGCAGAATTACCAGACGATTCTGGATCCAACTAGACCCTGTTATTTTGGCTCCTCTCTTCCTTGTCTGAGAAGGCCTCCTCCACATAGGGCGCAACAGATGGGTTGGGTTCGGGGCCTTGTAGCCAACACTGCTGTGCTTGGGCATCTAATGTGGCCTTCTGGCCCAACCAGGACTTTATGGGGATTTCAGTTATATAACACAGTATAAAGGGACAGATGACAGGCCAAGAATTTGCTCAATCCGTTAGATTCAAGCCATTTTTGGACCAAAGACAAAGAATAAGATACAAATCCCATCCGTCTCAGGGCCCTTCCACATAGCTCTATATCCCAGAATATCAAGGCAGAAAATCCCACATTATCTGATTGTGGATTCAGATAACCCAGTTCAAAGCAGATATTGTGGGATTTTCTGCCTTGATATTCTGGGATATAGGGCTGTGTTGTCAAAGGCTTTCATGGCCAGAATCATTGGGTTGCTGTGAATTTTCTGGTTCATACGGCCGTGTTACAGAAGCATTATCTCCTGACATTTCACCCACATTTATGGCAGGCAGCCTCAGAAGTTGAGGGTTCTGTTGGAAACCAGGCAAATGAGGTTTATATACTTGTGAAATCTCCAGGGTGGGAGAAATAAATCTTGTCTGCCTGAGGCAAATGTGAATGTTACATTTGGCCACCTTGATTAGCATTGAGTAGCCTTGCAGCTCCAAAGCCTGGCTGGTTGCTGCCTGGAGGAAGAAAGGAGATTCCATCTGAACATTAGGAAGAACTTCCTGACTGTGAGAGCCGTTCAGCAGTGGAACTCTCTGCCCCAAAGTGTGGTGGAGGCTCCTTCTTTGGAAGCTTTTAAACAGAGGCTGGATGGCCATCTGTCAGGGGTGCTTTGAATACAATATTCCCGCTTCTTGGCAGGGGGTTGGATTGGATGGCCCATGAGGTCTCTTCCAACTCTATGATTCTATGGAGGAATCCTTTGTTGGGAGGTGTTAACTGGTCTTGATGATTCTTGTCAGAAATTTCTCTGCTTTTTGAGAGTTGTTCTTTATTTATTGTCCCGATTTTAGAGTTTTTTAAACAGGTAGCCAGATTTTGTTCATTTTTATGGTTTCCTCCTTCCTGTTGAAATTGTTCACATGCTTGTGGCTTTCAGTGGCTTCTCTGTGTAGTCTGTTTCCAACAGACCTCTCAACCTCTGAAGATGCCTTCCACAGATGTGGGCAAAATGTCAGGAGGGAATGCTTCTGGGACATGTTATAGTTTCCATGTTTGTTTGTTTTTTGTCGTGTCAGGAGCGACCTGAGAAACTGCAAGTCGCTCCTGTTGTGAGAGAATTGGCCGTCTGCAAGGACGTTGCCCGGGGGATGCCCAGATGATTTGATGTTTTTATCATCCTTGTGGGAGGCTTCTCTCAGCATGAGGAGCTGGAGCTGATAGAGGGAGCTCATCCGCCTCTCCCCGGATTCGAACCTGTGACCTTCAGTCCTGCCGGCACAGGGGTTTAACCCACTGCGCCACCGGGGGCTCCTAGTTTCCATGTTATGGTTTGGTGAGGCACCAGTGGTCTTCTGCAGAGAAGTCTAAGGGCCCTTCCACACAGCCCTATATCCCAGAATATGAAGGCAGGAAACCCCACATTATTGGAGTGCGGACTCAAATAACCCAGTTCAAAGCAGTTCTTGTGGGATCTTAAGTTATGAGGTGGGATGTAGAGGCAGATACATTCGGACAAGTAAGCTGGGCCAGAATGGTATAGAGCTTTATAGGTCAAAATCAACACTTTGAATTGAGTTCGGAAGTGGACTGGCAGCCAGTGGAGCTGACACAACAAGGGGGTGGTATACTCCCTGTATGTCGCTCCAGTTAGCAATCTGACTGCCATCTGTTGGACTAGTTGTAATTTCCGAACAGTCTTCAAAGGCAGCCCCACGTAGAGTGCATTGCAGTAATCTATTCGGGGGTTGTAACAAGAGTGTGGACCACCGTAGCCAGATCAGACTTCCCAAAGTACGGGCGCAGCTGGTTTACAAATGTATGCATCTCTATTACAAAGTAATGTAGCGCTATTGTCTTCAATAGTGCGTTCAAACCATGGCAATTTCCTAATTTTTAATTTTATATTACAAATAGATACACTGCCATTGCTTCAAACATTAGAGGCCCTCCCACACATCCCTATATCTCAGACTATCCAGGCAGAAAACCCCACATTATCTGGTTTGAACTGGTTTCTCTGCCTTGCTATTCTAGGATATAAGGCTGTGTGGAAGGGCCAAAAGATAACCCAGTTCAAAGCAGATCTGGTGGGATTTTCTGCCTTGATATCCTGGGAGACAGGGCTGTGTGGAAGGGCCCTAGATAACCCAGTTCAAAGCAGGTATGGTGGGATTTCTGCCTTGCTATTCTGGGATATAGTGCTGTGTGGAAGGGCCCTAGATAATCCAGTTCAAAGCAGATAGGGTGGGATTTTCTGCCTTGATATCCTGGGATAGAGGGCTGTGTGGAAGGGCCAAAAGATAACCCAGTTCAAAGCAGGTATGGTAGGATTTTCTGCCTTGCTATTCTGGGCTGTGTGGGAGGGCCCTCAGGTAAACAAAGCTGAAAGAAGCACTGCTTCCCAGAACCAGGCCTTCCTAAAGGCTTGTCGTGATGCAGAGAACAGCATTGAAAACGCCTTATCTGGGACGCCTTCCACCGCTAGGAGTAGTCGTGGCCGAGTGGTTAAGGCGATGGACTAGAAATCCATTGGGGTCTCCCCGCGCAGGTTCGAATCCTGCCGACTACGCAATTGCATTTTTTTTAAAATAGGCGGCGCTTTAGATACCGTCATTAGACATGGGTTATTGAATCACACAATATTAAAAGGAGAAGAGAGAGAGAGAAAAAAGAACATACAAAGCCAATCACGAGGGAACCGGGTTCGAGGCCGGGAGTCTCCAGATCGTAAGGAGGGTCAGGGAGGCGAGGCTTGGCAAAGGGGAACAAGGCGGAAGAAGAGGATTGCGTGAGCGCTCTGCCCGATCCGGCCTGTCTGCAAAGGGAGCCTTTCCTCTCCCCATTCCCCCCATTGCTTTGGAAGGGGCCTCGTCATGCAGCCGGCCGTCTTGATCACCACCCGGTAAGGAGTTGGGGTGGGATGGGGAGCAGGGGGGGATCTATGTATATATTACAGGGAGTCCGATTTGCAGCCAGGCAATAGAAGGGAGGCCATCTCTGGAGCTACTTCCATTGAAGTTCTTGAAAACTACTATCTTGAAACGGGGGCTTCCCCATCAAGTTGTCCCATGCAGCTTCTCCTCCTTTTCTTTAACGTGAAACTTTGTACTCACAGCCCCCCCCCCCCAAAAAACCCAGCTTCTTGCAATAAACCTTTCCTAAAATCTCTTTAGCCTTGCAGGATTTTCCCAGCCCACCAGGTGGCGCTCTTGCTCCTCCATTGGTCTAGCGTTCTCCGTGACGTCACCAAGGACCTCCTTCTGAAGTAGACAACACAATACTGCCAGATCAGATCAGTGTTTCTCAACCTTCCTAATGCTGTCACCCCTTCATACCGTTCCTTATGTTGTGGTGACCCCCAACCATAACATTATTTTCGTTGCTACTTCACAACTCTAATTTTGCTACTGTTATGAATCATAATGTGAATATCTGATATGCAGGATATATTTTCATTCACTGGACCAAATTTGGTACAAATATCTGATACGCCCACATTTGAATACTGGTTAGGGGGAGGATTGATTTCGTGATTTGGGAGTTGTAGTTGCTGGGATTAATAGTTCATCTACAATCAAAGGGCATTCTGAATTCCACCAACGATGGAATTGGCCCAAGCTTGGCACACAGAACTCCCATGACCAATAAAAAATGGTTTGGTAGCCATTGACCTTGAGTTTGGGAGTTGTAGTTTGCCAACATCCAGACAGCACCATGGACTCAAACAATGATGGATCTGGACCAAACTTGGCACCAATACTCAATATGCCCAAATGGGAACACTGGTGGGGTTTGGGAAAAATAGACCTTGACATTTGGGAGTTGTAGTTGCTGGGATTTATACTTCACCTACAATTAAAGAGCATTCTGAACTCCACCAACGATGGAAGTGAACCAAACTTGGCACACAGAACTCCCATGACCAATAGAAAATAGTGAAAGGGTTTGGTGGTCATTGACTTTGAGTTTGGGAGTTGTAGTTCGCCGACATCCAGACAGCACAGTGCAGTCAAACAATGATGGATCTGACCTAACTTGGTTCGGATATTCAATATGCCCAAATGGGAACACTGGTGGAGTTTGGGGAACATAGACCTTGACATTTGGGAGTTGTAGTTGCTGGGATTTATGGTTCACCTACAATCAAAAGGCATTCTGAACCCCAACAACAATAGATTGGGTCAAACTTCCCACACAGAAGCCCCATGACCAACAGAAAATACTGGAAGGGTTTGGTGGCCATTGACCTTGAGTTTGGTTTAAAAACAAACAAACAAAGAAACAAAACACACCGTTTGCAGACTTGGTATTCTATTAAATGTCCTTTGACCAGTAGCTGGCCACTTGGAGTGCCTCTGGTGTTGCTGCAAGAAAGTTCTCCATTTTGCACCAATGATGGAATGGAACCACACAGAACTCCCATGACCAACAAAAAAGGGTTTGGTGGGCTTTGACCTTGAGTTTGGGAGTTGTAGTTGAGAAACGCTGTATTAGATCATTTCAGCAACTATTAAAAAGAAAACCAGCATTGAAAATGACAGGGTGTGCTTGTTGTGTATGCAGGGATTCATAGCTCCCTGGTAACTGGATAACAATAATGGCTGGCTATATTTTGAAAAAGACAGTATATTAGGTTGTTGTAAGTTTTTCAGGCTGTATGGCCATGTTCCAGAAGCATTCTCTCTTGACATTTTGCCCACATCTAAGGAAGGCACCCTCAGAGGTTGTGAGGTCTGTTAGAAACAGACTGCACAGAGAAGTCATTGAAATCCACAAGCCTGTGGACAATTTCAAGAGAAGGGGGGAAACCATGAAAATGAACAAAATCCGGCTACCAGTATTTAAAAACTCTAAAATCAGGACAGTAAATAAAAAGCAACACTCAAAAACCAGGGGAATTCCAGACAGGAAACAACAGGGCCAGCTAACACCTCCCAATAAAGAATTCCCTCCAGGCAGGAAGCAGCCAGGCTGTGAAGCTGCAAGGCCATTCAGTGCTAATCTAGGTGATCAATTACAACATTCACACTTGCCTCAAACAGACAAGAGCTCTTTCTCACATCCTGGACAGTCCACAGATATATAAATCTCACTTGCTTAGTTTCCAACAGACCCCTCAACCTCTGAGGATGCCTGCCATAGATGTGGGTGAAACTTCAGGAGAGAATGCTTCTGGAACATGACCATACAGCCCGGAAAACTCACAGCAACCCAATCACCAAAGAGTTTTAGCCTTGTAGGTATATAGATGCATATAAGCTGGGCTTACAAAGGGCCCTTCCACACAAGCATATAACGCAGAATATCAAGGCAGAAAATCCCACAATATCTGCTTTGAACTGGGTTATCTGAGCCCACGCTGCCACATATTCCGGTTCAAAGCAGATAGTGGGATTATATTCAGCTGTGTTATTCAGCTTCAGTTAACCAGAACTCAAGTAATCGGAACTCTCAAGCAACTGGCAAAAACAATCAAAGAAGGTACAAAACAATTCTTGTGAGATACTATTGCCTTGCAAAAAGTCACTTGCACAAAGTTAGCCTTCACGTCTTGTGATTCAGTAGGGAATTGAACCTGAATCCAATCCAATATCTATTATGCTCCAGTCCAATAGTCTAAACTATCATATAGTGCTAGTTAGCATTCCATACTAACTTTTCTCCATGCAGGGTTGTTCCCCATATAGATCCTAGCTTGGGGAAACCTCAGTTGTGCTGTGGTTTCACTAGGAAGATGGCAGAAGAGTAGTGTGGTTGGATCTCATTGGATGGGGACCGCCCAAATGACTGGTCAATAAAATTATTTTGCAAAATTTAGGAAGAAAAAACTACAGCAGACTCTCAATTAATTGGCGCTTATGAGGATTAGTAGATTAGTTGATATTCTTGGTTATAGGGCTGTGTGGAAGGGCCCTTAATGGCACAGACTTATACTTTTAGTCCAGTTCTGAAAGATAGCAGGCCAAATACTGGTATCACTATTCAAGTCTGATGGTGCTGAAATATGAGTGATCTCTGACTGACCTTCTGTTTTTTAAATTCACAGATCTCTTCAAAATGCCCACACAGGAATAGATCTGTCCGTCCCAGAGTACCAGGAAATCCGTGGAAAGATGCTCTCTGGCCACGTGGAATATACTATTGTTGTTGTTACTCAGGTGGCGGCTTTCAAATCAGCAAAGCACAAGACGGAAGATATCATCCAGTTTATGGTAATCAAGTTATTTCTGGGTTGTTGTAGCTTTTTCGAGCTATATGGCTATGTTCTAGAAGCATTCTCTCCTGATGTTTTGCCTGCATCTATGGCAAGCATCCTCAGAGATTGTGAGGTCTAGTTATTTCATTTTTGGTTGAGGGAGGAAAAAAGACAGCAATAAGGAGTATAAATTAATGAGTAACAATATGAAACTGTTCATGACTTCACATAGCCAATGGCCAGGTGATCTAGAGATTAGACCTTAAATGGGCCATAGCTAAATATCTGTTCTTTGATCCATGCAATATCATGAAAAAGCATGGTTAGACTCACAGAATCCCAACATTTGTTTGCCTATATGTTCTTAACTGATGGCTCCCTAACATTGGCCATACTAGCGGGAGATAATGGAAACTGTAATCCAACACAAGGCTGTTTTTCTGTAGTGTATATGCATGCAGAGAAAGTGATGAAGGCCAAAACATTAATGTGTATGTGTGATGGCATAAAGCAGGTGTGGAGATCATGCGACCTTCCAGATGTGGTTGGACTGCAATCACATCTTGCGCGTAGCATCAATGGTGTAACATGGGAGCTGGAATCCAGTAACATTTGGAGAATCATATCATTAAGGCTATGCCCCATGGAAGTGTCTTAGGTCAAAACCTAACATTTAAATATTAATAATATATTTAGGACAGAAGTTCATACCTTCAAACTATTGAAGCATGGTGCTGATGATATCAAGAGCCAGAATCAGGACTTATCTCTCAATTTCACTGGAGTATTCTGTGTATTTCTGGTCTCTACCATATTTTGCCGCTTATGGTAAATCGGGTGTGTCAGTGCTTTACCCAAAATATATATTATGTATTTTATTTATTTCAAATATTTGTACCCTGCCTGTCTCTACCCTAAAGGAGGACTCAGGGTGGCTTACAGCTGGCAACAATTCGATGCCTCCCAGATATACACAGATAAAACAGCAATTACAAAATAGATAAAACATTAATATAAATTAAAACCATTTAAAATAGTGCAAATTCAATTAGTTGGCCAAATCTAAATCTGAGTTCTACAATCAACAACTTAGTCCGAAGCCTGTCCATTTACCATAGCATCAGGCCGCAGGGAGTGCTGTTGCTCCACCTCCTTGCCGAAACACTTTCTTTGTTCGTAAACTTTCCTCTGAAATGTCATGCCTAAAATATCTCCCCTCTTAATAGGAAAAGGTTCCTATTCATCTACTCACATTGCTAGGTAGTCAGGGGAATTGGGCTGAAGGTCAGGAGCTCACCCTGACTCGACTTCGAACTGTCAACTTTTCAGCTGGCAAGATTTACTGTAGCTGCAGCTGGTGATTAACCTGCTGTGCTAAAGCTGGCACATAGAAAGAATGGAGTTTGACACCACCTTAATTGCCAAGGTTCAGCGCTATGGGATCCTGAGAGTTGTTGTTTCACAAAGTATTTTGCCTTCTCTGCCAAAGAGCAGACACCTACAAGAAGATAACAGTCTGCTAGACAAATTGGACTTGAGCCGTATAGGACTTTATAGGTCATGGCCAGCACTTTCCATTGTGCCCAGAAATAAACTAGCAGCCAGAGGAGTTGTTTTAACAGGGACTCTGCTAACCTTCTCTACAACCTCATCATACAAGCTGATTTGCCTATCATATGCCAGTTCCCCTCCCCTTTTACCATGAAGCCCATTACATGACGTACATCTACTTCCAGTGGAGCTCCGTGGTGAAACGTGAGAGCAAGTGGTGTACACCGCCGCCACCACAACACATGAAGGCTTCCTATGTTGCATTTGCAACAGTGGGGGGAAGCTGGAGGCCAGCAGTAAGTCAGGTGATGCATGGTGTGGGGCAATGGGTTCTCCACGCCCCCTGCCAGGACCCCATAGATTCACAATGATATGTGGGGAATCCATATGCTAATGTGATAAGGTCCCTAGTTATTAGTTCAGTTGCAGCTCTTTGGATCAGTTGGAGTTTCCAAACACTCTTCAAAAGCAGCCCCAAATAGAGCAGGGATCCAAATGGATTGCAACTAAAGCATGTGTACCATTGTGGACAGATCTAGTTGGAGGACATGTTTTAAATGTGCAAAGGAACTCCTGGCCACCTCAGAAACTTGTGCTTTCAAGTTCAAAAGTGAATCCAGTTTTATAATTTTGCACATGTGTATTTGACTCTATTCAACACAGACTATATCCCCTTTCTCTGATTTCTAAGATCTGATTCCAATGAAGTCCTTAGCCTAAAAAGAAATGTAAACTGTGTGGGACATCAGAATCTTTGATGGTTTATTTTAATACATAAATTTGGGTTGATTTATATTCATGAAAGGAGCTCCCGGTGGCGCAACAGGTTAAACCACTGAGCTGCTGAACTTGCTGACCGAAAGGTTGGCGGTTTGAATCCGGGGAGCGGTGTGAGCTCCCGCTGTCAGCCCCAGCTTCTGCCAACCTAGCATTTTGAAAACATGCAAATGTGAGTAGATCAATAGGTGCCGCTCTGGTGGGAAGGTAATGACACTCCATCCAGCCATGCCAGCCACATGACCTTGGAGGCATCTATGGACAATGCTGGCTCTTCAGCTTAGAAATGGAGATGAGCACTAACTCCCAGAGTCGGACATAACTAGACTTCATGTCAAGGGGAAACCTTTACCTTTATCCTTTACCTTTACCTTTATCCATGTGCCAATCACTTGATCGATGCAACATCAAACAATTTCCATGAGTGAATGAGACATGACTGATACAATTCCTCAAAATCAATGCTTTTCAATTGAGTCATTTCATGCAGTTTGCTGTCAGTTCTCCAATGCAGAGGGGTCAAGTGCTAGATGTGCGTGTGGGAATCTAACCTTGCTTTCTTGTCACTTGTGAGCAGTTGTCTCCTTTTGAGAAGCCTGGGTTCTAAATAAAAGTTAGATAATTATTTATTGTGATTTATTCACTTTGGGCAAATTGCTGCTTAATTTCATTGAGTGAAGAAAATACATGTTAATAATTACCCCTTCTTTAGCTGAAATCAGCTACATTTTGGAAAGTTTCCTGTACTTTGGAGTAAGCCATGCTGCACGTTAGTCATGGTTCTTGTTAGATGTCTTTCCCCCTTTGACTTTCTAAGGAGATAACAAATTAAAACATTCCACACTTCTAGGAATGGCATTTTTATCCAGTGAAGTATTTTTTGGGTCACTGGCATGGTCAAATACCTTAAATAGTTTGGCCATGTGCAACTAATCCTTACTGCTAAGGTTTTTGTTGCTGTTGCGCATTTCTTGAAGACACCGAGAAGCAGTGTCCCACTTTTTTTGCTTTGAGATATACTTCATTCTTTTTTTTTAAAACATAAATAACTGCACAGTCAGAAAATACTTAGTTTCGCCATATCCTCTTGCATTATTGAAAGTTGCTGCATTTAAAATTGAGCCTAGCAGCAAAGCACTTTGATAATCACCCAGCCTCCTTAATGTGTGTGTGTGTTATGTACACAACATAAAAATATTTCTTCTCATCCCCTGCCCATTTTGAATTCTAAGACAAAATTGCCTTGGTTAGCTGTGATTTTGATAATGTAGATTGTTCTTCTCTTTAATTCAAATTGCAAATGTTGTGTTCATAGTTGTTTTGCCCAGCTCGCGATCAATCTTCTGCTGATAAGCTTTTTAAACCTTAACTTGGTCAGTTCTTGGATTGCAGACAAATGGGGTGCATCTACACTGTAGAATAAATGCAGCTTGGCACCACTTAATGGCTCAATGCTATGGAATCCTGGGATTTGCAGTTTGATAAGGCACTGGCATTCTTGGGCCGAATGGGCTTACAAAACTACAACTCCCAAGACTACATATCATGAAAGTTCAAGCGGTTTCAAACTCGATTACAGTGTAATTCTGCATTCTCTGCTGTATTCTCAAAAATGTACCATCTTGTAGGAGCTGACTAAATATCCCTATGGTTACATGCATAATGACATGGATGCAGTTCAGGAAATGTAAATATGCAAGTGGAAGTGAAAACCTATAAAGAAATTATAGAAGGAAAATGGAGCAGGGAGAATTCATCGGTATGAAAGCAACTTTGAATATGTTTTGATGGATTTAAACTGGGTTTCTTTTTCCTGTACTTTTGAGTAAGCCATGCTTCACGTTCTTGCTTGTGTTTAATTCTGTTTTCATTTTTGTATATTTGTATATTCTAAATTCTAAATTCAGTGCTAATGCTTTTATGTCAAGCCGCTTTGAGTCCCCTTTGCGCAGGTAAAGCAGGGTATAAATAATAATAATAATAATAATAATAATAATAATAATAATAATAATAATAATGGCAACATGATACAATACTTCAAATGAAAAGATAGCGGCAAAGATCTTGCATTGCCAATGTAATTACAACAATGGGGTCCTGTACCAAAGCCTTACACTCCTACCAAAAACCCATCCTTGCAGTGTGCCATTGCACTGAAGTGGAAGTGTGGACGACCCACATTATTTGGGGGTGCTCCCAGGCTTGAAGGGTATGTTTTTGGGACCAAGTTGGTCATTTGTTACAAGATCCTAAACCTAGGTTGTTGTTGTTCATTTGTTCAGTCGTTTCCGACTCTTCGTGACTTCATGGACCAGTTCACGCCAGAGCTCCCTGTTGCTGTTGGTCATCACCACCCCCAGCTCCTTCAAGGTCAATCCAGTCATTTCAAGGACACCATCCATCCATCTTGCCCTTGGTCGGCCCCTCTTCCTTTTTCCTTCCATTTTCCCCAGCATAATTGTCTTCTCTAAGCTTTCCTTTCTACTCATGATGTGGCCAAAGTACTTCATCTTGGCCTCTACTATTCTTTCCTCCAATGAGCAGTCAAGCTTTATTTCTAAACCTAGGTTATGATCTCAAAATAGCTGAATGGCAGCCCATGACTACTAGATTAAAAAGGTCGTTTTTAGTATAAAACCTTTTAAAAACACATATTTATTTAAAAGTGTTTTAAATGTAAAGGAGAGCAGTAAAACCACGTTAGTCAGTACCCTCCTGGCTGGACAATAGTTACATTAAATTGTGATGCGGTCCATGTCATTGAATTGTCTTACATCCTTTTCCAACATAGTCACTATTCTCCCTCCACACAAGTATGTGTTCTTTTTTGTGAGGTTGTGACCTCACAACCTCTGAGGATGCTTGCCATAGATACAGGCAAAACGTCAGGAGAGAATGCCTCTAGAACATGGCCATATACCCTGAGAAAATCTACAACAACCATATGTGTTCTTTGCCTCTCTGGCAATACATTCAGGCAAATTTTATTCTGTCTTTCTTCCCATCCTTCTGTCATTCGCACAAGTGCACGCATGTATGTTCTTACATGTATGCCAAACTATGTATTGTCGTGTCCTCACTCTTATTCTTTGCCTGTGTATTCATCCTCCCAGAACATCTTTCCCTGTAGAGTCTGTATAGGAATGGTTGGAGGCAACTAGTCCCTACAGCTGTTGGGATGTTTTTCTGCAGAGAATGAATTCAAGAGTGACAACTAATGCAGTGTGAAGGATTGACATTGAAAGAGAAAGTCCATTGATAGGTCCAACATCCCTTATCTGGAAATCTTAAATCCAAAAATGCTCCAAAATCCTTAATTGTCTGCATAGGTGGCTAAGACTTCACCATCTCGTACACTTTAGAATTAGTGCAGTTTGACATCACTTTGATTGCTGTGGCTCAATGCTAAGGAATCAAAAGAAGTAAAATTTTACGAGGTCTTTTGCCTGCTTTGCCAAATGGTGCTTGGAACCTCTCCAAATTGCTGTTTCCAGGATTACATAATATTGTGTTGTGGCAATTAAAGTGGTTTCCAACTGTATTAATTCCATTGTGTAGATGGACCCTGGGATAGTGACCAACAACTCAGTGAACACAAGCTTTCTTTCATTCACAAATTACTTCATATATAGTGCATGAAATTGTCTTGCAGTTACTTGTATGCAGTATATATGAAACATAAATGAGGTTTTAGACTTAGGTCCCATCTTCATGTTATCTCAATATGTATATGCAAATGTTCCATAATCCAAAAAAATCCCAAATGTTTTTGATTCCAAGCTTTTCAGATAAGGGTAATCCAACCTGTATTAATAAAGGAACTGAGGGTGGGTAAGGAAGGGAGAATAAGAAACAGAACAATAACATGGGAATTCCCCTGTATTGATCACTTGCCTGCAAAAATCACTCGAAGGGCAAAATTAATTTTAAAATGTTTAAATTAATTTTGTTTAAGTTGTGAAGAAATACCTGAAGGTGTGTGTTTCAATCTGATTTGGTAACCTTTTATCCATACCAGTGGTTCCCAACCTGTGGTCCGCGGACCACCAGTGGTTCGCAAGAACCAAAACATGGTCCATGGGCTCACCATTACTACATGGTTGCCTCGAAACCATACGGCAACGAGTGCAACTGGTCATGCAAAACCCTCTTATAGTGCTGAGGCAATGGGGATGTCAGGAAGGGAGAGATTAACTACTCGCAAAAGATTACTACTACCACATCAGCTCTAGATTATTAAATATGGGTTTCTGTGGGCGAGTAGATGGTGACTACTGGATGGCATATATTCTGTATCAGAAAACAGAGCTGAGGTGGTCTATCTAATGCAAATAACCAAACGAAATCTAAAGTTGGCCAAAAACTGATTTATAACTCTTTTGGTACTAATATTGGAGAGTGGTCCCTGGTCAAAGTGGTCCCTGGTCAAAGTGGTCTCTAGTCAATAAAAGGTTGGGAACCACTGATCTCCCATCATAGCAAAGTTCTAGAGGACATTAATAAAGTTTTTCATAAGACATCTTCGTAAGTTAAGTGAAACATTATATCACCTTGAAATAACACAGCTATAATCCGCTTTTTGCTTTAACTAATATAGCCCAAGTGAGTCCCCCCTAGGGGGTTGAGAAGGGTGGGGTAGAAGTGCCCGAAATAAATAAATAATTTTAATTCTTTATTGCAGCTGAGTGAGACAAAGAATGAACATATCTCTAACATTTCTAACATTTTCTCATGTTGTTGAGTTTAATAGATTGAGAAACGAAGAATGCACACATAGTGTTGTTCCATATGGCCCATGTTAAGTGATGCAGTAATTCAGTGGCACAAAATGTTATGTGGCTGCTGTTGCTGTCCTGGTGAATGCACATTGGGACTGAATATGATGGCTTAAGCATTTAGAGAGCTGGGAGATGTCACTCTGGATATGGAGTCTTTTGTGTAAAGCTCCGTGACACAGATATTTTCTTATATACATTTCAACAGCATCAAATGGTCCAATGCAGTTATAGAATATAGATTCTTAATCTTGCCATCAAGAGATAGTACCAGTAGAGGGCACCCAAGTACCAATTAAATTACTTATTCAGTGAGAAAGGCATTGGCACACAGAAATTTAGGAAGAATATTTTCATCCTGGAGGTATAATAGCAGGCAATTCATAGACTGCTGGCAGGGTAAGGTTTATATGATAAAACTTTGGAATTCAGTGAATTGCCTACCCTGGCCTGCAATGCAAATTTATCTTCTAATTTGTGAGTGAAGGAGAGGGTATACTTTTGTGGAGTATTTTTATTCACAAGGAAAAAGGTTTGAATGACAAAGTAGGCTGGTATATAAGATTTGTAATCATTGGTAGGTTTTCATGCCAGTTTTGGGGTGGTACAAATACTGATTTAGCTATACGCAGGCCCCTTCTAGACTGCCATATAAAATCCAGATTATCTGCTTTGAACTGGATTATATGGCAGTGTAGACTCATATAATCCAATTCAAAGGAGATAATATGGATTATTTGCTTTGACAATCTGGATTATATGGTGGTGTAGAAGGGTCCCAGAAGTCAAGATGAGATCATATTCAGTTACAGCTTTATCCTTCAATTTTGATTAGAACATAGTTTAGTGTGTATTAAAAAGAATACTCTTTTAGCCCAGAAATTGCATTTTCTTTCAGTTGTCCTGTAAATGGATAGATTAGTTTATGTAACATCAAAGAAAATTCTTTACACAGAGGGTTCTTTGTGGACATTACTGGATTTATCCAGCACAGAGTTGGGAAGCTTTTGGCCCCGCAAATGCTTTGGACTTTAAGCTTTCACAAACCCAGCATAGTCATGAGCAAAGGACTGTAGGAATTGCTGTCTGAAATATCTTGAGGGGCAAAGGTTCACCACTCTTGTAGAACAGCTGGCATCGAAAAACTGTGACCCTTGAACCAGGAGTACTGGGCTAGAATGAGAGACCTTTTTCATTCTGTATCACTTATTCCCAAACCATTTGGGAAGCTATTATACTACCATGCCGTCTTGGCACTCCAGTCAGTACCAGCTCCATCCAATCTTTTATTTCCTCCAATAGTTCAGAGTAGTGCTGTGTTATGGTACAGCTTGGACCAGAGGAAAACCACAAAGAAATATAGGAAGTTCATTTTTGAGATGTGAGGTGGACCGTCCATGCATTTAGTTTAATAGTGGTATCAGTGCTTCCGAATTTCAGGAATGATTTTTCCCCAGTCCCATTTGGAGATGTCAGGTCTTGAACCTGCAATCTTTTGCATGCATCAATAATGGATCTTGACTCATGCCCATTGATGCCAAATCCTGATGCCAGGCAGGATTTCCCAAACTGCTCTAAATATTTTACTAAGGTACCGTATATTCCGGCATATAAGACGACTGGGCATATAAGACGACCCCCAACTTTTCCAGTTAAAATATAGAGTTTGGGATATACTCGCGGTATAAGACTGCCTCTCTTCCAACACACACCAAATAATTTTTTTAAAAGCATCAGATTTTATTTCAGTATGGTTATTTTCCTATTACTGTACCTCCTTCTCTGCCTCTCAGATCTCGCACATGCGCACCTGCACTGCTTCACTGCAGTCTTCAGGAGCAAGATCTGAGAGGCAGAGGAGGGAGTACAGTAATAGGATACAAGGGCAGGCCAGACAGGTAAAAGAGGTGTGTTTTTCTGGGCCCAGAGCCACTCTATCTCTTTTTTCAATACCCCGAGCACCCCGGATGCCTGCAGCTTGCTCCGCCCTTCAATTACACCTTCCCGGTGAGGCGCCCCTTCACCTCACCATTGGGACTGCATTGAGTCCATGAATCCTGATTAATGGATTTTCTTCTACTGTAGTTATAGAGCGTCACCCTTAATGCTTTCATATATTCGCTGCATACAGCAGGGACATGGCCACTGCCATTTTTGAGCTCCCCCCACAATATGCAGCAAACACAAATTCTCCAATCCGGATTGGAAGTTTGAGCACCCACTCTATAAGACGACTCCCACATAAGGCTACTCCAATTCATAACACGACTCCTGTGTATAAGACGACCCCTGACTTTTGAGAAGATTTTCTTGGGTTAAAAGTAGTCTTATATGGTAAATATTTCCCTTGACATTAAATCTAGTCGTGTCCAACTCTTGGGGGTGGTGCTCATCTCCATTTCTAAACCAAAGAACCAGCATTGTCCAGAGACACCTCCAAGGTCATTTGGCCAGCATGACTGCATGGAGCGCTGTTACTTTCTTGCACAAGCAGTACCTATTGATCTACTCACATTTGGATGATTTCGAACTTCTAGGTTGGCAAAAGCGGGGACTAACAGCGGGAGCTCACCCTGCCCCCTGAATTTGAACTGCTGACCTTTTGGTTCAACCTGCTGCATCACCACAACTGAATAAACATCGAGGAACCATTTCATTCCATATATTCTGTAATACAAGTAGAAACTGCAATGGTGTAAGACATGCATTACTCTGCAATTTGCTTGGATGGTAGAGGGTGGTATAATAGAGCTAAATATTGGTCCTTGTCAAAATTTGAAGGAAATGTTTGATCTCTTCCCCACAACCCCTTGAATTTGCCATTTAATGAAAGTATATGTTTTGCCCATAGGTTTCTAAAAAATACAGTGAGATAGAAGAGTTTTATCAAAAGCTGGTCACACGTTATCCCCAGGCCTGTCTGCCACCTCTGCCAAGGAAAGTGCTGTTTGTTGGAGAATCTGATATCCGAGAACGAAGAGTTGCCTTCAATGAGATCATGAGATCCATTGCAAAGGATGCAGGTCTTGCCACAAGCCCGGAATTACTGGAATTCCTAGGTAATCCCACAAATCTGTTCTGTAAACAAAGAGTGATTCATTCAAATAGACAGTGGTTCAAGCCTAGACAAAAAGAAAAGTGCCAAATGAGTTATGATGTTTTTGAAAGGTGAGATCTGTGCTAAGATCTCATGTCAGTATAATTCTGGAAACCTATTGGGTTATACTGGTGATTTCCTTTTCTAGAAATTTTCTACTCAAATTATAGAAATCTAGATATTTTATTCTCTGGTTGTGAGCTTTAGTTCTGAGGCCTGCATATGTAATGTGGTTTAGAAGAAAGTCTGATTTTGATCATTAATAGGAGAGATAATCTTGCTGTTGTGCATTGTATACTACCCCACATCCAATTGATCAGATTTCTAGAATAATTATTTAATTGAGGTGTTAATCTTGGCTTATTTTGTTCTTCCTTGCAAGAGTAACTAACTGAAAAAGTTTTCTACTAGCTAGGTTTGTGTGTGTGTGTCAGGAGCAACTTGAGAAACTGCAAGTCGCTTCTGGTGTGAGGTAATTGGCCATCTGCAAGGATGTTGCCCAGGGGATGCCCGGATGTTTGATGTTTTACCATCCTTGTGGGAGGCTTCTCTCATGTCCCTGCATGGGGCACTGGAGCTGACAGAGGTTTCCTGAGGTGTTAGTGTAGGCACTCCGTAGTGAAACCCACTTCTTTAATCCACTTCCTAACTCAGATTTAATGATTGTGTAGACCTGTATCTTGCCCCCTCCTCAAATAAATCCCTGCAACATTTATTGTTTTGCTTGAATCACAGTGTATGATTAAGCATAGCATAATATGACAAAGCAAACACAAAGGTTTACAGACAAATGAAAGAAGTTGAGCAATACTCAGATGTAAGAGCCCCTAAAGTGTGGCACTCACACATGGGTCTAAACTAGCAACCATTACTGAGATTGAAACCCCATGGATATCTCTTTCCATATAAAAGGAATTAAGAGATTAACTTCTTGAAGGGGAGGGAGTGACCTCCACAGGCTTTGCCATTGGTTCAAATTATCGTCACCATCTCATTTGGGTTTGGGAGGCTGTGCACAGTTGCTCACTTGGCCATTTCCATCACCCTGCTTCATCCTCTCCCAGGCCCCATCTACACTGACACATAAAATCCAGATTATCTGCTTTGAACTGGATTATATGGTAGTGTAGACTCATATAATCCAGTTTAAAGTAGATAATGTGGATTATCTGCTTTAATTATCTGTATTATATGGCAGTGTAGAAAGGGCATTAGGTATAGTGTGTTGCAAATCTGTTGAATTTACATGTCTTAATGTGGCTCATCTCCCTCCATCTCATGTTATAGTTGGGCTTCGCTCCAGGTACTATTGGAATCCCTCACCATTGGTCACACTTTCTGGGGCCTCTGGGGCTAGATCTACACTGCCATATAATCCATTTTCTGAATCCTGCTTATCTGCTTTGAATTGGATTATATGAGTCTTCACTGCAGTTTAAAGCACATAATCTGGATTCAGAAATTGGATTATATGGCGTGGAAGTGGGGCCTGGGAGTTGGAAGTCAACAATGCCTGGAGTCCTCCTGATTGGAAATCACCATGCTAGATGGGTAGATGACTGTCTATTGGACCAGACTGACAAGTCCTTTCACATAATGATTTTCCCCTACAATTGCACTTCTTCATACATAGATGTTTGTGGAAAGTCCTGACAACATCTTCATCTTCTGTTGGTCAATCATTCTGAAGCTAGTGATAGTAGAGGCAGACGTACCGTAGCAATTTTGGGCCCCTTCTACACTCCCATATAATCAAGATTATAAAAGAAAATAATCCATATTATCTGCTTTGAACTTGATTATATGAGTCTACACTGCCATATAATCCAGTTCAAAGTAGATAATCTGGATTTTATATGACAGTGTAGAAGGGGCCATGAATCACTGTTTTTTATGCACTTCTAACCCAGGAACCAGATCTTCTAGCACCACTGATGTAAAGGGGAAAAACCTGCCCGATAAGGAAGAGGAGGATGAAGAAAACGAAGCCTTTGATTTCTTCAAAGAAGAAAGGACAGCTGATGTAATTCCCCAGTTCCCTTCACCCAAAAAGCCAGATGTGAAAGTGGAAAAAGAAAAGGAGGAGGAGGAGGAGGAAGAAGAACAAGAAGACATTGATCCACTTGGTGTTCTCAAGTATGTTTTTAAAATTATTTCATCCTTATCTGATAGTTCCAAGGTGATTTAAACTTGATTTATTGATAAAATGGGACTGAATTCTGAAAACTACATCAGTATCGATTAAACAAGAGATGCAGAGAAAGTGAAAAGGGAGGGCAGCTAGAATAGATATTTTGCATACAGACCATCCTGGATCCAAACCCAGAACCCACCACTTAAGGGAACGGGTGAGAGAGATATTGCTGTCTTAGTGTACAAACTAAAGAAAACTTTTCTGGACTAACTTTTTTCTGAGCTTATTGAGGGCTTGTCCACATGGACTATAAATTGTACCTATCTCATTGGTTTGCAGTGTGTTTCTTTAGGCTTTAAACCATTTCCTTTTGCCAGAGTTTTCGGTATATTGCCCTCCTTCAAGGTGGCATAACTTTGCTGTGTTGCTGACAGGAGGAGTTAATGATTGAAGGAATTGGCTGGCGAGAGGTGAATATTTCTGCCAGAAAGTGGCTTTTTCTTGGGTTGAATTTTAAAAATTTATGTGTATGTTTATCAGTATTAGCGTATCTCTGCTTAATGGAAAATATGTGCATTTGCATGCATGATGGGAAAAACCTATGGAGTGTTCCAGTTGCCATGTGCCAAAAACATTGTATAAAGGACTGGAAATGTGCATCGTTCCTAACAGTGAACCATAGAATCATAGAGTTGGAAGAGACCTAGTGGGCCATCCGGTCCAACCCCCTTCCAAGAAGCAGGAAAATATCATTTAAAGCACCCCCGACAAATGTCCATCCAGAGAATTTGCAAAGGGGAAATATGTGCTCAGTTATTATAACCTTATTACTATTGTGTGGTATTAATGGAGTCACTGCAGACTGGGAAAACATAATGCAAAACAGAATTTTTAAAATCAGTTTAGACAGCCTTGATATAGTGGGATGAGTACGGGGAGTTCCATATGTTTATGTGGACACTTCATTAGCAGTCGTGGAGAAGCTGTCGGTCGAGTTCAGTCAAGGTCAAGTTCATTGATTTTAATAGAAAACTTGAAAATGAAATAGTGGGAATTCCTTGTTATGGGGATAAACCTAATTGTTAATCCATACTAAAGTAGATCCACTGGGCTTTTATAAGGGCTAATTTATTACCAAATTTCCAGTTGAGCTTAATTTTTTTGTCTAGATTGTGTCTGTATTTTAGCCCATTCCCAACAAGTTTGGGTTTTTTTCTGTGCATCTAGACTGATAAAGACATCTCTCCAAATCTGTAGGTTGCATCCAGCATTCGAACAATTTGTACAAATGTATTGTCGAAGGCTTTCATGGCTGGAATCACTAGGTTCTTGTGGGTTTTTTCGGGCTATAGAGCCATGTTCTAGAGGCATTTCTCCTGACGTTTCGCCTGCATCTATGGCAAGCATCCTCAGAGGTAGTGAGGTCTGTTGGAATTAGGACAATGGGTTTATATATCTGTGGAATGGCTGGGGTGGGGCAAGGAGCTCTTCCTTGCTGCAGCTAGGTGTGAATGTTTCAACTGATCACCTTCATTAGCATTTGAAGGCCTGCCTGAGCCTGGGAAAATCTTTTGTTGAGAGGTGTTAATGTGCCTGGTTGTTTCCTCTCTGTTGTTTTGCTGTTGTAATTTTAGAGTTTTTTAATACTGGTAGCCAGATTTTGTTCATTTTCATGGTCTCTTCCTTTCTGTTGAAATTGTCCACATTCTTGTGGATTTCAATGGCTTCTCTGTGTAGTCTGACATGGTGGTTGTTGGTGTGGTCCAGCATTTCTGTGTTCTCAAATAATATGCTGTGTCCAGGCTGGTTCATCAGGTGCTCTGCTATGGCTGACTTCTCTGGTTGAAGTAGTCTGCAGTGCCTTTCATGTTCCTTGATGCGTGTCTGGGCGCTGCGTTTGGTGGTCCCTATGTAGACTTTTCCACAGCTGCATGGTATATGGTAGACTCCTGCAGAGGTGAGAGGATCCCTCTTGTCCTTTGCTGAACGGAGCATTTGTTGGATTTTCTTGGTGGGTTTGTAGATTGTTTGTATGTTGTGTTTCCTCATCAGCTTCCCTATGCGGTCAGTGGTTCCCTTGATGTATGGCAGGAACACTTTTCCTCTGGGTGGATCTTCATCTTGACTCTCGTGGTTTGTTCTTGGTCTTGCAGCTCTTCTGATGTCTGAGGTGGAGTATCCATTGGCCTGGAGAGCCCAGTTTAGGTGGTTCAGTTCATCTTGGAGAAGGTGGGGTTCGCAGATTCTTTTTGCACGGTCTGCCAAGGCTTTAATGGTGCTTCTTTTTTGACTTGGGTGATGGTTGGAGTTTTTATGTAGATATCTCATTCCTTCTAAAATAATACAGAAATGATAACATCTAATGCAAAATCTTCAGGTAATGAAGTGCTATGGCTCAGAGCTGAATGGTGCTGTATGTGAGGGAAGGGTGGTCTTGCCTAAGTTGTGCCCAACATTGCTTATGATAAGGAATTTTAGGGTTTGTAATCCAAAATTTAAATAATAATAATAATCATCATCATCATCATCATCATCATCATCATCATCATTGTCGTCGTACTCTTTTTTCTCGTTAAAAAAGAGATTCAACGTAGCTTATGGTAAAACCAACACAATAAATTTTAAACCTAAAAATATACAAACACTAACACAAAATTAAACATTAATGGTATTAAAAATAAACAGTTGAAACCCTTAAAACCAATTAAAAACCTATTTGTAGCTAAAACTACAGCATCCTCTGACTTGATCTTAAACACTTCCTTCTTTAAAAGCCTACTTCAGTACTATGCAGTGGTTAAGAAACTACTCCATAGTACTGCCACAATTAATATGAGTAGTTTTTTGGGTGGAAATGCCTGAAAAACAGTAGTGGATGATAGATTTGGGTCTGCACCAGAATGCTAGGAAACCATTTAACCCTCTCCCATATCCATTTTTATTGCAGTTTGTCTCCCAACCCAGTGTTAGATTTATGTACAAGGTAAATAATCTACAGTTTAGGGATTCATATTCCCACCTTCCCATGCTCTCATTTTGGTAAGAATATTTTCAGGATAACATCATAGGGCCTCTCATATCTGCCAATGTTTAGAAATGTCTTAATCCATCCCTATGGCCACTCCCCAGTTACTCCTAGCAGTGGAGAGAAAACATGCAGAGACTGGTATTGTACTTGCATTTCCTCCTCCATGGAGAATAATGCAACTTCAGGAGGTTACTTTGTGTCAAAAGTAACAGATCAAGGGGGAAAGTGAACATTGTCCCTTCTTCAGTGCTTATAGCTCTGATTCAACTTAAGAAAACAAGGATTTGTCGGTTTATTTTATCATTGATGTTCGCTTAGGGGGAGAAAAGCAGTATATAAATGTAAATGTAAATGTGTCAAAAAAAATTCTCGGTTTTAAATTGTTATTTATTCTGACAGACTGCATAAAAACATAAAATGGTCCTTAGCTGCTAGCATATTCAAAGAGACTGTCCTTTTTTCTTTTTTTTTGATAGGAAAACAGTGTTTTGAATTAAGCAATTTATTTTCCTGGATGTAAGTATATTGAGTATATTATGCCAAAACAAACAAACTAATTCATCAGGTTTAGTGGCTCTGTTTTCTTGCCAGACTGTTGTCCAGGATTTAGAGGGCCATAGAAGTACTTCCATAACTATGAGTGGGCCTCTCACTCCAAAATACACTCTGTATTCAAGTTTTATCTGCCGATGTGGTGGTGAAACATGGATACAGTTGAGAAGTCATTGTAGCTTCAAAATAATAAATTGTGTGTGTGAGGTGGGCAATATAGGACACACCAGAAAACTTCTTAGTATCTCATTTGTTTTTTGTTTATTACATGCCTTAAAGCTTCCTCCAACTTATGTTGACTTTTGCAGTCTCATCAGACAGGCAAAATTGCCCGTCTTATGATCGTCCTACTTGCATGGAGTCCGCCAGCTCCCATCCTATGATGTCAGTGTACTTCCCGCAGGGCTCCGTGCCACAAGTGACATGGAAGCGTGGTAAGCCGCCATGGCAGCAACACAGGAGGCTCTCCATGTTCTGAGTTAAATAGCTATTCAGAGAAATTAGAAGTTTTCCAGAAAGAACAAGGGGGAAGTATTCATTTATTTGGCTGCGAGCTAAGATTTCACAGTTGGCTGTATCAGCAGGCCTAATGATCTACAAGTGTTCCTTTGCTGCTGGGAATGGATTTACAGTTGTGTAAGGTTAAAATGAAAAGAGTTTGTGTAATAATAATATAACAATAAAACTTTATTTATATATCTCCCTATCTCCCCTAGGGGACTCAGAGTGGTTTCCACATTTGCAAAATAATACAAAAACGTACAATATAAAACAAAAACATAGGCATAAACTGTTAACACAACATAAACTCCAAGGGATATAATTTGTAATTCTCTTTAAATGTATACCGATAATTAGCATTTAGGCTCCACAAGGTTTGTTTCTGAAGTTCTGAAGTAGAACAGCAGGAAGAAATCTGTTATTTCCAAGGTAGAATTCAGCTTCATCTTAAAACCATCCACCTTTTCTTTTTTCATTGCTCTTTTCAACTGTAGATGTCAGACTTTGAAACCAGACTTTCAAATAAATCTACAAAAGTTAGAAACCTAATAAAAATGTTTTGCACTTAGGTGGCCTGTCCCATCCATCTATAGTTGTGCTATTCATGTCCACAAGTAACCATAGAAGTTGCTGTAGTAATAACATACCTGTAATATTAATCATTACTAGAGTTGGGCCCTCTACCCTTTTCATTTTCTCTAGTTCTTCCCTTTCTGGTCACTTGGAGATTCTTCCCACAAGCAACTGGGCAATAATAATATAATAATAACACTTTATTTATATTCTGTCCTTCTCACCCCGAAGGGGACACAGGGTGGATCAAAGTACACATACACGGCAAACATTCAATGCTGCTTTGTATAGACAATACACAGACAGACAGAACAGAAGGAGGTGCCATGGAAAGTTGGGCTTGAGTCC